TCCCTCCACCTCCAGTGTTGGTGTGAGAGTGGACATTTCTTCACATTTCTTCACCACCTCCACTGTGAAAGAATGGACATTTCTTCCATCTGATCTTGTCCCCTATGTACCCCCGACCCCTCCGCTTGCTTCCACAGTCTCCTTTATTACTTTTGGTCCCTGGTGGGCATGAGGGAGGGCTCAGTTAATATAGCAAGATGCAGAAAAGAGACAGTGCCACAAAGTCTACTGTGATTTCTTGGTTGCCTCTGTGTTCCTTCCTTTCTAAGATTCCTGACATTGAGAGTACAAGAATTTTGGGGTCACCTGGGTTGGTCCAGTTGGTTAAGCATCTAACTCTTGATTTTGGCTCCGGTCGTGATCTCACCGTTTGTGGGACTGAGCCCTGCCTCGGGGTTGGGATACTCTCTGCCCCTCCCCCACTCATGCTTGCTCATGTGCTCTCTCTTTCTCTCTCTCTCAAAATAAATAAACTTCAAAGAAAATTAAAAAAAAAAGAGAATGTAAGAATTTTTTCTGACATTATTTTTGGCCATCATTGTACTGTCTGACATCTCATTGGCATTGCTTCACTCATGACACTTTCCACCCTGATTCCTGTTTACCTCAACAGATGATCAGAGTCAACATTGTTTTGCAATATTCTAGCCCTTTTCACAGATTCTGAACTGCCTGATTTGTTTGGGGAAAGACAAGGAAACAGGTGATGTTTGAGGATCCTGCTCTGTGATGGCCTCAGGTACTACACTTATCTGTAATATTTAAGTAGGATTCTTCAGCATTATCTCGCTATTTACCTTTCATTCTGATAAGTGTTCTGGATGAAACGCTTTGTATTTTCATCTGTCTTTGGACAGACAATTTTTATGATTAGCAAAAAGATTCAAAGATAGAATGGAAAAAAATTAGTCACTAATATGAAAACTTTATTTATATTCAAATTAATTTTTAGGCTGCAGTTACAACTTTCTCCTAAAATCCAATTATTTTTTTTATTTTTATTTTTTTTTATTAAAAAAATTTTTTTAATGTTTATTTATTTTTGAGACAGAGAGAGACAGAGCATGAGTGGGGGAGGGTCAGAGAGAGAGGGAGACACAGAATCTGAAACAGGCTCCGGGCTCTGAGTGGTCAGCGCAGAGCCCGATGCGGGGCTCGAACTCACAGACCGTGAGATCTTGACCTGAGCCTAAGTCGGAGGCTCAACCGACTGAGCCACCCAGGTGCCCCACCTAAAATCCAATTATTATATAAAGTAGAAATATTTAGCTTCTGCTACTTTATGCTTCTCTGATAAATGAAAGTGAATAAAGGCAGGGGTATATAAAAAAGCAGAGGCAAAGAGGTAAATTCGCCAGGAATAATGAGAAAATGACTTTGTTAAGTAGAGACATGCCTTAAAAATTCTGATAGCTTTGTCATTAAGCAATCTATTTTGATTTGTGTAAATAAACACTTTGAGACTGTATTTTATATGAAGTTAGATATAGATCTGTTTTTTAATTAAAAAACTCAGCACTTTGAATGATTCCAAGCACATATGGGTACTTATCTGGGCATGCTAATTGTTGAATTAAAAAAAATATAGGGGTGCCTGGGTGGCTCAGTTGGCTAAGCGTCTGACTTCAGTTCAGGACATGATCAGTTCATGAGTTCAAACCCTACGTCGGACTCTGCTGACAGCTTGGAACCTGGAGCCTGCTTCGGATTCTGTGTCTCCCTCTTTCCCTGCCCCTTGCCCATTCACACTTCCTCTCTCTCTCTCTCTCTCTCTCTGTCTCTCTCTCTCAAAAATAAATGTTAAAAATATTAAAAAATATATTATAGAATGAAAGTGAACAAATTCATAGTTTGTGCATATATCCAATGGCAAAGGCACTGAAATAAGAACAATTTTTTAAAAGGTGCTCATGCTAAATGGTAGATATTTGTTGTTTTGGATTTTTGAAATAAAAATAGGAATTATTATAAAACTCAAAAAGGAGCTGATTAGTTCAGATGCTTTCTTTAGAAATGGCTCAAAGTGCCATGATAAATGTTAGCCTGGATAAGCATCATCAATAAGTAAACAGGGCAGGAGATAGCTTGCTAGTAAATTGTCAACAACTTTAGGGAAACTAAGCAGTATAGTTAACCAGGGAATCAGCCAGGTAGCTTTTGCATTATCGTGTCCTTTTCAAATTGAAATAAACTTGGTTGCAAGGTTAGGTTTGCTGATTTCCCAAACACTCTAAAGGAAGCAGCAGGATCATGAATGTATTCCAGGGATAATGTCAAATCATCTATTCCTTTTTTTGTAGCTTTCCAGGAGACAGGAAGAGAAACAGCATGATAATTGCAAAAACTATAATAGCTAGTTTCCCTCCAGCAATGAGTGTTACATAAACATTTAAACATAAATACAACATCTTGCCCATTCTCTAATGTTCCCAATGACTCATTAGACATCCTCGATTATAGATGCTCTGTTCTCTGAATTGAATTTCCTACCAGGAGGAAACTTTCTGAAGAGTCCATTATTATAGTCAAGGAATAGTCCTCACTCCCAAACAGTGCAGGTGACTGACCAAATAATATCATTCTGAAATCATTATTCTGGAAACAACAATACACTGTGTTAATTTGCAACTGTAATCATGACTCAGTACTTAATCTTGGGGAAAACATTAGAACCACAGCTGAGAAATATTACAAGCAGTTGCAGGAAGAGTTTCATTGGCCTTTTATAGATTGTAGAATAAACTCACCCATTCCAGAAAATAAAATAATCGTATACACATTGAACTATTTACATAGGAGCACATATACGCATATTCAGATACATGAAGGTAATGGGATAGGAGCAAAACAATATTGCTCACTTACACATTCATAGCTGTGTACGCATGTACAGGATCATGTAATTGAGACATCCAATAACATCTCTTGCCAGAGATGGTAACAAAGATAAAAATAAATCAATA